TTTTTCTTTGTTTTTTTTTTATATGTACAATCGTTTTTTTATGTTTCTTTGTTTTAAAAAAAAAAATTTTGTATTAAGTAGGTACCTATTCTTGAGAAAGCAGCTACTAAATGTGTTTTCTTACCCCCCCCCCCCCGAAAATACTATATCATTCTTTCTTTTGTTCTGTCAATTTAAATTGAGAGATATGTTTATTTGCATTTATACTTTTCCATTGTTTCAATATTTTTATTTTACACATTTCGTCTTTATGACTTGAAATATATTCAATGATATTTGAAATGTAAAAAAAATATTTCCAAGCAAAAAGCTAGTAAATATGAATTCCATTTATTTAAAATCCGGCCATATTATGATTACAGCGACTGCCATCCACGATACCATCATAGCGGCCATGAGAGAGCTGGAACATGACGTAAACGGACCTGGCACTTGCATACAATTTGTGCAACGGACAACGCAGGCCACGTACATAGAGGTCACAGCAGGGACCGGGTGAGTAACACAGGCAAACTACACAGAGGTCACTGTATGGACAGAGTCAGTTTGTCACCAGCTACATAGAGGTCACCGTATGGACAGAGTCAGTTTGTCACCAGCTACATAGAGGTCACTGTATGGACAGAGTCAGTTTGTCACCAGCTACATAGAGGTCACTGCAGGGACGGAGTCAGTTTGTCATCAGCTACTTAAAGGTCACTGCAGGGACGGAGTCAGTTTGTCATCAGCTACTTAAAGGTCACTGCAGGGACGGAGTCAGTTTGTCACCAGCTATATAGAGGTCACTGCAGGGACGGAGTCAGTTTGTCATCAGCTACTTAAAGGTCACTGCAGGGACGGAGTCAGTTTGTCACCAGCTACATAGAGGTCACTGCAGGGACGGAGTCAGTTTGTCACCAGCTACATAGAGGTCACTGTATGGACAGAGTCAGTTTGTCACCAGCTACATAGAGGTCACTGCAGGGACGGATTCAGTTTGTCATCAGCTACTTAGAGGTCACTGCAGGGACGGAGTGAGTTTGTCATCAGCTACTTAAAGGTTACTGCAGCGACGGAGTGAGTTTGTCATCAGCTACTTAAAGGTTACTGCAGGGACGGAGTGAGTTTGTCATCAGCTACTTAAAGGTCACTGCAGGGACGGAGTGAGTTTGTCATCAGCTACTTAAAGGTCACTGCAGGGACGGAGTGAGTTTGTCATCAGCTACTTAAAGGTCACTGCAGGGACGGAGTGAGCTTGGCATCAGCTACTTAAAGGTCACTGCAGGGACAGAGTCAGTTTGTCATCAGCGCCAAGCAACTATTTGAGAGCGATTGTCTAAAGGTTGTGTCTTTTTTTTCTCACATAAGATTCAATTATCTCTATGTCAGGCGCCCTCTTACATGCAAGAATTACGCAAGACATTGGTTCATATTACAACTCAATGTGCTAAATAGAGAATTTTTTTAAAAAAATGTTGAATTCCGGTGGAAGAAATGGGTTGCTGCTGATGTGCCAGTACATTTCTTTGTCATCGCCATTCGACTATGATTTTTAGCACCGAGTGCACCAATCATAACTATAAATATTTATTGCCTTGTTTTGTGATCCAAGCTTCAGGATAAATTGTTCTGAATATTTATTTCACACGGCTTTAACATAGTTTCTACTACATTATCACACATAAATAGTCGCAGTTCAGTTTAGAAAGAAAATTATGAATCTCTCATATAAAGTTAGTAAAAATAGGTTTAATTTAATGCATAACATGAAACTCAACGAATGATAAATGTATGCCCCCTTTGACCGACCAGGTGTCATTCGATTGTTGGATACAACAACCATGGCAAACAGGAAGTGTCCATCGGCAGCGGCTGCGAGGCCAAAGGTATCATCATGCACGAGCTCATCCACAGCCTCGGCTTCTGGCACGAACACAACCGCGTGGACAGGGACAGCTACATCAACATTGATCTGCACAACGTCCAAACAAGTAAATTCAACCAGCGGGGACACGGTTGATAGAGTAGAGACAATATATTAATGTTCTAATGCTGGACAGAAACGGCACCACATTTAGAAATGTCAGTCAGCCAACCATCAAACTTTCACACGAGTCCCTTGTACAGAATTTTATAACGATCTCCCTCTACCCTTCAGGCTCCCAGCATGACTTCACCATTACGACCACAGCCAAAGCGACCACCCTGAACACCGCCTACGACTTCAACTCCATCATGCACTACAGCCCGTACACCTTCGCTGTTGACAAGCTGAAACCCGTCATCACCCCGAAGCCGGGGAAAGCTCCCGTCAACGCCAGGCTGGGGCAGCGAATCAACCTCTCACCCACGGACGTGCTGAAGATCCAGCGACTGTACGGGTGTCATGAAGGTAAGCTGTGATGCATGGGAAGGGCTAGGTTGAAACAAAGTTTGGCGTCAAAAGATGGGTTGGTAGTTTTGTGACGGCCATCATGTCTGGCCTTATCAGAAGTGACTAATGAGATTGTGGATGAAATGCTGTTGGGTGGGTTGAAAACACTGAGTGGCCCTAAGCCCTAAACGGATTGTTCCTTCATACAACCCTTGGCGGGGAACATCTCGTAACACACAAAATACGTTTTTTTTGGGGGGTTTGTTTATGCTTTGATTATTCACATTTTTTCCAAGACTAAATGCCCTAGCTCAGGGGATCTTAACCTATAGTCCATAGACACTTTGGGTTGCGTGAAACAAGGGAAAACATGTCAGAGGGTCATGAGCTGTATTTCCGTTGTAATTTTATTATAAAAATTTAGAAGAAAAAAAATAATTAAAAGAAGTTGTCCATTGCCTTCAGATGAATGCTAAAAGGGGTCCCGTGGACTACAACATGTTAAGAACACCTGCTCTAGCTAGACGCGTTTGGGACTGACATTGAACCTTGAAACTTTAGAATTCATGTTCGCTGCTTCCATTTTTGTCGTTGTGTTTATTTTTTATTTCTACTCCTCCAGATACAACACACATTACTCAGCCAAGTAAGTCACGCAGCTTCAACTATTTTGTATTAAAACTATAGATTAAACAGTATGTAGTTTGTAGTGACTTAAATGCCTTAACCTTAATGTACATGAATCATTGTAATATTTAAATAAAATTAATGTAGTTAAATGGGCTTTTTAAAATATCTAAAACTTCGAATACTGCTGACGATAATAATGATCATTACAATGATATCGATAATAGGCCTGCACACATCTAACAAAAAAAATAAATAAATAAAGTCCGCTAACAGGGCCAACTGGTTGTTTTTCTTCCAGCCACACAAGCCAAGTGTCCTTTTGAAAATTCCATGTGCAGTTTGGTGCCGGAGACCTCACCTACATACAGATTAGCGTATGGAAAGTCCGCCACCGCAGCCGGACCCTACGCTGGGAACACAAACGGCGCAGGTTTGAGTTTTAAATCATTATATCAGAATCTAAATGACGGATGTAGTCAAGGGGCCATTAAAAGATGGAAGCAGTTTTGTGTGCCCATTCTGTTGTCCTGTTCCGATTGGACTAGTGCCAAAATGAAGCGTCCTGGGGCCTCTATGCAGTCGACATTTTGTTTTGTGAAATTCAAAATGAATTTAGTTTTTCATCATAAAAGTATTCTCTACTTCTTATAAACTACCTTTATTTGGTTGATTTTGATCGAAAAATTCGCCCTACTCCCACAGCCAAACTTATAACTAAAAAAAAACAAAAAAAAGCTTAAAATAAAAGACTTTCTATCAAAGACGACTTAAAACACAATAGAAAGTAAAGAAATACAATTTCTTATAATGAATAATGGAAATGCATACCCCTCCCCCCAACCCCCTTTTTTTCCAAGCAGAAAAAATGTGTGCATCAATAAAACGAAATTATATTTAAAAAAACGACCAAATAAAACAGTTTTTTCAATTTTATAACATTTTTCAAATACATAGCAACTAATGCCTTGAACTGATTACAATTAGTGGAGCCTACAAATATCACTACGCACGATATATTTAATGATCCGTATATTTAAGGCTAATTTGGTTAGAGGCTTACACCATTCGATTATAAACATCGTACTGTTTCAATAGTTGGCCCCTCATAATTATAAGCCAAAGTCTTACCTCCCGTTGTCCACATATATTTTATTTATTTATTTATTTGGAAATTCAAAAGTTTAAAGACAGTATTAACACGGTATTACACTACCTTTTCATGAATATAAAGGTCTATAATTTTAATGTAGCTCCTACTGTAAAACATGTGCCATCTGTTGTCAAATTGTATTTCATAATAAAAGCACGAATTTTAAAGTAGGGAGGGCTGTTAATTTATAAATTGTAAGATGGTATTATGTTTTAAAGATATAGTTATTGCTAGTATAATTTTAAATATACTCGATTCCATGTATTTGATGTCAAAAGTTAACAAAAATTAAGAATTTAACTGGTGCAAACCGATAATGCACCTTTCACCAGTTGTTGTTACATCAAAATCAGTTGTGTTTGGTTCAAATGTGCTACTTTTATAACACGGATACCTGAATATTCGAGTTTTTTTTTTTAAAAGCCAACATTAATTAAATTCCCAACTTCTGTTCTGTTTCAATACCAGAATAATAAACAATAGGCCCGCCAAGTCATGGATTTAAAAAAGGAAAAAAAAAATTCTTCATTTTGTCGGTACCAGCTTTTAAGGTTGCCAGGTGTCCACTATTTGAGCGGACAGTCAGTTTTATTTCACATTATGTTCATTATTTTTTTAAACAAAATAGTGGACATTTGTTAAATTCAAAAGCTTTTTGATGAAATGGTACGTAACCTGAAGCTGTAAAGTCTCAGAGAATAAGGATAGGAGACTCGTGCATTGTCTTTTTTTTTCTTAAGTAAGAATGAGACAAAGTTTGAATATCTTTTGAACTCGATTCTCCGACAAAATTATTAATCATACTAAGATACTCAATTGTTTCACAAGACATTTAGTAAAAGTATATTAAAATTATTTACATACTATTTTTCTTAACTCGCATATCCCTTTTATTTTTATATTAATTTTTTTTTTTAAAGTTGGATAGGTATGTTTTGGAACACTCAATAGCGTATCATTATTTGAGGCTCAATGAGTACAAGCCTCAATATCTAAGAATAATTTAAACGTAAACATTTTTAAAATTTTGTTACTACTTAACATCCCCCCTCCTTCATTGGATCCTCCAGCGGTCTTTTTAAATAGCAGAATGAGAGCATCGGGCGAGTTGTCATTCTGACGGCAATCAGAAAATACCGGACTGAATTTAAATAAATGAGTCCACAATCATTAATAAAGTGTGGTAACAACCATTAGCAGTTTTCTTGGGGCTTTCAGGATGCTCGACTAGAGGGGCAATGATCTTAACAACCATTAGCAGTTTTCTTGGGGCTTTCAGGATGCTCGACTAGAGGGGCAATGATCTTAACAACCATTAGCAGTTTTCTTTGGGCTTTCAGGATGCTCGACTCGAGGGGCAATGATCTTAGCAACCATTAGCAGTTTTCTTGGGACTATCAGGATGCTCGACTAATAAACCTCACTACTTCACCCACACAAATTCCTGCGCTACTTTCTGTGCTAACACTTTCCGTGCTACTTCCAGTGCTACGTCATTTGGTACTTCCTGTCACACGTTTCATTTCTCCAAATGACAATGTCCAGATTCCTTCCTGGTCATCCACGAGGTGCCTGGACACACGGGGGTGGTTCGTTTCCACACGGCCTCATTCCACAACGGACCGGTGTGCATCGAGTTCTACCTGTTCCAGAAAGGTCCATCTTCCTACATCGAGCTCATCTACCAGGGGCCCACTCTTGCCACGGCGGTCTTTAAGAGCTACCACAACAGCAACCATGTGACGTGGTACCACAGCAAGACCTACCTCAACGTACCTGCGGGTGTGCAATTTTCGGTGAGTGTTGATAATTCCGTCTGCCTCAAGGACATTTTTTCATGGTCTTTAAACGACTTAACTTCACTGTGTTTTAAGACAGTTCAATTTTTATTAATATAGTTTACTGTGTCTTAATGATAAAGACGATCTGACGCGACGCAGAAATTGCACGGATCACATGAAAACTTATAAACAAACTTTACTATCACCTTTTTTTTTTGGTGAGGGGGGGGGGTAGGGCAGTACATTTTATTTTACAAGGTATGCCCTTCAGACAATGACAAGGTCGTAGCTAAGCACTTCGTGTTGCCATGTTATTTTAACATTAATATCACACCAAGGATCATAATTCGTAAGTTGGTGATGGAGGGGAAATGGGGTGGGGGGGGTTGAGATAATGACGTGTTTGACGTCATATGGGCTCACAGAGGCTGGCTGACACCAAACACCAGGCTGGGCGCCACTGTCTGCTACACACCAACATCTTGTTGACACCAAACACCAGGCTGGGCGCCACTGTCTGCTACACACCAACATCTTGTTGACACCAAACACCAGGCTGGGCGCCACTGTCTGCTACACACCAACATCTTGTTGACACCAAACACCAGGCTGGGCGCCACTGTCTGCTACACACCAACATCTTGTTGACACCAAACACCAGGCTGGGCGCCACTGTCTGCTACACACCAACATCTTGTTGACACCAAACACCAGGCTGGGCGCCACTGTCTGCTACACACCAACATCTTGTTGACACCAAACACCAGGCTTGGCGCCACTGTCTGCTACACACCAACATCTTGTTGACACCAAACACTAGGCTGGGCGCCACTGTCTGCTACACACCAACATCTTGATATTGATCTTTTTTGTTGTTTTCCTAATAGCTTTTTATTTTTCGGGTCCCTTTGGCGACGCTTAAACGATTTTTTGTTTTCTTCCTTTTGTTTGTTCTAGTCCCTCTTGATATGTATTCTGAAGTATGTTTACTGACTCATGACTAAACCACACTGTTAGAAACACAAAAATCATTTGCGATTTAATAACTAATCTGAGCCAGAAAACAAATATTGAATTATTTCATACTTTATATTCTATTCTCATTTAGATCACATTCCAGGCCCACATGGCTTCCGGTGATGTGGCTATCGACGACCTATACATCTACAACGGACATTGCTTGTAACTGATTGGCTGGAATTTGACATGCATTCTTTAAGATAATAAAGGTAGTAATCGGAATATTGTGACTTCCGTTTCTGATTTTTTTTTTGGGGGGTGGGGGTGGGATGGTGTAAATTTGTAAATCCTGCGACTAGCGGTTGTTCTTTGTTGTTCTTAATACTCAGTTTGAATCATAGTATGAAATGTGAAAGAATTCAAACAAAACAATAACAATCGTGTGAGCTTTCACACATTTTCCGAGAATTATCTTCAAACATGCAAATTTTCTGTGAAATTATCAAGTTACTTAGTTGGTCAAAAAAAACAGCAACAAAAAAAAAACAAAAAACAACAACAACAAAACAAACAATCTGTCAATTTTGACAAAGTTACAAAAAGTTTGAGTTATTTCTCTTTGTTAACAAGTTATCCTTAAGTTGCATGTTGCTGCCTAGCCCGTGTTTCTTTAAGGCATCTTTCCGGTAGATGGAAAACTTATGCAAAAACCAACTATGCCAGTCACTGGGGATACATTGGTAAAGTATACAGAACATATGCCAGTCACTGGGGATACATTGGTAAAGTATACAGAACATATGCCAGCCACTGGGGATACATTGGTAAAGTATACAGAACATATGCCAGTGTGACCCCTATGTAACCATTTCATATGTCTTGTATACGGTGTCACTGGGGATACATTGGTAAAGTATACAGAACATATGCCAGTCACTGGGGATACATTGGTAAAGTATACAGAACATATGCCAGTCACTGGGGATACATTGGTAAAGTATACAGAACATATGCCAGCCACTGGGGATACATTGGTAAAGTATACAGAACATATGCCAGCCACTGGGGATACATTGGTAAAGTATACAGAACATATGCCAGCCACTGGGGATACATTGGTAAAGTATACAGAACATATGCCAGTCACTGGGGATACATTGGTAAAGTATACAGAACATATGCCAGTCACTGGGGATACATTGGTAAAGTATACAGAACATATGCCAGTCACTGGGGATACATTGGTAAAGTATACAGAACATATGCCAGCCACTGGGGATACATTGGTAAAGTATACAGAACATATGCCAGTCACTTGGGATACATTGGTATAGTATACAGAACATATGCCAGCCACTGGGGATACATTGGTAAAGTATACAGAACTTATGCCAGTCCCTGGGGATACATTTATAAAGTATACAGAACATATGCCAGCCACTGGGGATACATTGGTAAAGTATACAGAACATATGCCAGTCACTGGGGATACATTGGTAAAGTATACAGAACATATGCCAGTCACTGGGGATTCATTGGTAAAGTATACAGAACATATGCCAGTCACTGAGGATACATTGGTAAAGTATACAGAACATATGCCAGCCACTGGGGATACATAGGTAAAGTATACAGAACATATGCCAGCCACTGGGGATACATTGGTAAAGTATACAGAACATATGCCAGCCACTGGGGATACATTGGTAAAGTATACAGAACATATTCCAGTCACTGGGGATACATTGGTAAAGTATACAGAACATATGCTAGTCACTGGGGATACATTGGTAAAGTATACAGAACATATGCCAGCCACTGGGGATACATTGGTAAAGTATACAGAACATATGCCAGTCACTGGGGATACATTGGTAAAGTATACAGAACATATGCCAGTCACTGGGGATACATTGGTAAAGTATACAGAACATATGCCAGTCACTGGGGATTCATTGGTAAAGTATACAGAACATATGCCAGTCACTGAGGATACATTGGTAAAGTATACAGAACATATGCCAGCCACTGGGGATACATAGGTAAAGTATACAGAACATATGCCAGCCACTGGGGATACATTGGTAAAGTATACAGAACATATGCCAGCCACTGGGGATACATTGGTAAAGTATACAGAACATATTCCACAGTGACCCCTATGTAACCATTTCATATGTCTTGTATACGCAGTCACTGGGGATACATTGGTAAAGTATACAGAACATATGCCAGTCACTGGGGATACATTGGTAAAGTATACAGAACATATGCCAGCCACTGGGGATACATTGGTAAAGTATACAGAACATATGCCAGCCACTGGGGATACATTGGTAAACTATACAGAACATATTCCAGCCACTGGGGATACATTGGTAAAGTATACAGAGCATATGCCAGTCACTGGGGATACATTGGTAAAGTATACATAACACCACGACGCTTAATTCCCAGGACAACACAGGAAGCAAATCAAAACCGCGAAATACCTGAGAGACCTGGTGCAAGACAGTAAACGATTATCTCAGTCTTTATTTACTTATATTATCCATCTAAACACTTAAAAAGGGGGGGGGGGGTAAGAAGAGGGTAAAAAAAAGAAGAAAAATGAGAGCAAGAAGCGATTTAAAAAATGAAAAGGACCACTGACTATGCCCTTTTTACTGGTAAAACCCTAGTACGTAAAACTGTATCCAATAACAGCTTAGATGACCCAGCGTAACCAGCGATTCATTAATTAATATACATAAAGATGTCAATACTAAAATGCCATCAGATCCGGATTCAGGGCATCAGGTACAGGGGATACAGAGCCCTACAGAAAGAACAACGAATTCTTGCTTTGTATTTAGTCGTTGGTATAGGGAACAACAGATGATATGTTTTGGTTTAAAGAATGAGATTTAAATCATCTATCCCGCTTGAAAAGAATTGCCAACAAATGATTGCACTTCAAACAATTCTTTTCAAGCCAGATAGATGATTTAAATATCATTCTTTTTAAAAAAATGTATCAAGTGCGATCATTTGTTTAAAATACAAAGCTGCAGTATTTGCCATCTGAACCATGAACGCCTTTCTCTGAGAGTACACGCCAACTATAAACTACACTACAAAATATGATGCCAAAAGGAATTCAGGCTACTAGTGAAATGTAAAATAAATGTATTCGAAACTAATGTTTGGGTAGAATATAAATAGGTAAAAATTTGACGAGTTTCTTCTTTTTAATAAAAACATTTATAAAAATCAAACTTTGATTCAGTTGGACAGAATACAAAAGGCATTTATTCAGAATCGGGGTTGATGGAAAGCATGCATTTTGTTTTAAAACAGTTCTTTCACAATGCATTAAATGTCACATGACCATGACGTCATACGCAATTTAATGCGTTGTGAAAGAACTGTTTTAAAACAGTAAATGGAAGAGTTGCCTCCCTATTAAAGATTTATTTAAATGAAGCATTATATTAGTTTATGGGACATAGCTATTGCTCTTTTATGGCCTCGTCAAACATAGCTATTGCTCTTTTATGGCCTCGTCAAACATAGCTAATGCTCTTTTATGGCCTCGTCAAACATAGCTATTGCTCTTTTATGGCCTCGTCAAACATAGCTATTGCTCTTTTATGGCCTCGTCAAGCACTTCAAAGGCGTGTCCCATCTGCTGGGCATCGCCGTAAATCTGACTTCCTACGTGGTGGTCTGGGTGGTTCCCTGCCCCACCACTCGTTAGTGCTGGGCACTCGGCTAGCAAGTGCACCACTGTCCTTGGCGCCTGTCCACAGTCACGGCAGCTCGTGTCCCGAAGTGGATGTAATCTGTTCAAATAGCTTCGAGTAGGACAGTGGTCAGTTCTCATTTGGGTAATGAGTATGGGTCGCAATGCAGGTCCCTTTTACCATAACCATAATTTTCGATATTGACGTTTTACGATACCGGAATCCCGATATTTTCGATATTTTCAATATTTAGAGAATTTTTAGTCGAGATTCGAGGTGACGATGTATCAATGAAATAAAAATATCCAGAAAAAAATCACATTTTCATTTTTAATAAGCTTTTAACAATAACACAGATGTAAAATTTCAGATATTAATCAAACGAACAAAAATAATGTTCTTAACTTTTTAATTTAAATATTTTTATTGATCCAATATTAAAATAAGGTGTGTTGTTTTAATCTTTGGTCACATTTAAATAATGAAATCGTAAAAATTACAACGTGTCTAAGGTTTGATCGCTTAACTTTGACCGCAAATCGCTACAACAGTAGCATTAAGACGTCAGATTCCACACCCGTCGGAGGAATAGACAGTCTTTTATACGCCAGCTCTAGATATTTTCCTCTGGAACCGCCATTCTCAAGTAAAGCCATCTCTATTTTTATCAATGTCTCCATCCTTTGGTCTAGAAGTATTATCCTGGGCCTGAAGGCCTGCAGTTTCTTTTTGTATTTCACTTTCTCATTGTCTCTTAAGCGGAAGTATGCCTTCAGGTTCATCGTGCTCAGATAAACGCTGTCCACTCTGACTGTCCATAGATATTTCCAATGAGGAATCCGCTGTTTGAACAAATTTTTGAATATCCAAGATATTTTTTTCGCATCTGTTCGAAATCTGGCCTTAGAAATACGCCCAAGTGGTCATTCGACGAATCAAAGTACTTCTTAGGGTTATGTAATTGTTTCAATGTTGAAGCTACCAACAATCGGCGCTCTTTAATCCGACGCTCCAGAGAGGCAACACGTTCACATTCCAACCATGTCGTGATGCATGGGATCTAATTTTGTAAACATAAACATCAAAGCCACATCAGATGTCGTTCAGTTGGCGTTTCCATTTTTACGGTAAAATTTTGCTTCAAATTTCTTTTTGAGCGCATTATTTTGTTTTACTATATAGTATTATGCGTTCAAAAAGAAATTTGACGTCAATTTTAACGTGTGAACTGCAAATAAAAAAGAAGATTTGACCAAAATTCCGTTCGGTTAAATTTCCATCGATCAATTCACCGTTGACGAAATTTCTTTCGAACAAATTTCCGGTAACTGTATTTGTCACCCAATGAACTCATTCGAACGGGTTGCTATGAGGTGTGTTGATGGCTCATCCATACGACCCGCAGCTAGTCTTCAGAAAAGCAACTAAACACAAAAATAATTAAAAATATATATATTGTATGGAGAAAGTTTATTTCCAGAATTAATGAGATAATGTTGTTTTGTGCAAATAACACAGCCCTCAACAACACCAGTCATTTCGTGGACTTGATATTCTCTAAG